GAATATATAATTTTATAATTTTACTTTTAGGTTATTTTTATAGGCATTGTTAACTAAATTATGTGATAAATAGTATTGAATTTCAACGTTGACACTGGAAGGAGGCGTTAGGCCTTCAAACACAATCATTATTTTCTGGTTACATATTATGTGTTATATTTTAATTGAATACTTAATTTGTGTTTCTTTTTAAAATAAATGTCATTATACTATTGAAAGTCATTTTATTGATAATTACTAAACAAAATCTACACAAAGAATTGGAGAAACGCTTAGAAACGTTAATTATTAGTTCTCAGTGAATTAACATTTATATAATTTATTAAAATATACCCTTGATGCTTTTGTAATAATTGATATTTTTGTGTGAATGACATTACAAGTTATAATAAATAAATATAAGAGATTCTGTACGGTTAAGATTTTATTAATCTTTTGCATTACTGATGTATTGATTACAAAATTGTTCATTGGTTTGTAATTTAATTTTTTTAAAATAATAAATATTAACGTTTAATTTGATTAATATTTTACTAGCCAATAATTACGAATATATAGCCCGTACATTACTGATCGTAATTTATTATTTTTTGAAATAATTGAAATAATATTTTGTCAAAATTAAAATTCACTAATAACTGGTCAGTCAATGTATTTGCATTGATTGCATTTCAAGTGTAATTTGACGCTCCAGTGACTCTCTAGCCTTATCAGTGCTGCGCTTATCACTCATCCCATCAAATATTTTATTTTTTTTATTTGAGTGTCTAATAATAAATAGTAGGATTTTACAATATTAATGTTATCTAGATATCATAATACACTATACTTACAACTAATCAAAGGGTTAATATAAAGTTATGCGCGCTAAAAGTATCATTATTTGTAAATATTTTTAACATACATAAATGTAAACATTATTGAATTAAAAAAAATAATTTTACTTATATAATAATTTAACAATTTAGTTGACATTTATAATCAATGTCTTGAACCAAACCCTTACTACTTAATAAAGTACGACAGTAATAGCCATTATGAGACATACAATCAAATAGCCATTTGAATTGACATACGTTGACAGGTTTGAAACATTGATAGAATTAATGTGTAGTACGGGTTCGTCGGTACAGATTGTAGTCAATTGGTTAGCATTCTTATCGCAAACGCACCGATAGTGTCGCTGTACGGGTAGACACATGTGAGCGCAGCGGGAGTTTGAGCACCGGTTCGTGCCATTCAT